GGTAAAATAAATACTTGTCTTAAGGGCAAACACAAAGGGAATATACATTTCTTTGTACACAAGTAAAAATTTACCCCCCCCCCCCTTCCAGTCAGCAAATGTTATTTGCAGATTTGGCGATTCGTGGCTATTTCAATAATCTAACCCCAATGAATTTGAAGGGCATGCTATACTAAAATTCTTTTCTAAGGTGCAGTTAGAGCTTTATTCTCATCGAATAAGATTTTGTAATATCCTGACTAATTACTTTTCCTGCTGGTGTTATGCATTTTATTCCACCCATCGAGTGAAATTGTTCCTTTACCGGTTAGGGTTTTTATATTGAAGTCTGCATTGTCAAAAACATATTGATAGAAAGAATCTTTGTCTAAATCAGGTTTCCAAGATTTAACAGCTTATCACTCAAACAATGCAACATCATTATAGCTTGAACAAAATCCCAAATTTGACACTGCATTGTCAATGCTTTTGGAAGCTACTATTCGAAATACATACACCGAGAGTCAAAGCAGTATGGAAGATAGAAATGAGCGCGGTCTTGTTGCAGCAATTATAGAATGGGCAATTGCAGTACACTGTTTTGCTACTTTTTCTTTTTTCCGCCTTTTTTGCTTTTCTGGATAACGGTGTCCAAAAATGCATGTAATGTTTCGGGAACTACACCATGTGCATCCTTCATAAAATCTGTGATATCAGGGTAGTCCATAGTGTTATAAGCAGCTGTCCTAATAATCCCTCGGACTATAGTTGCTTCAGCTTCGACCATTTGCAGAAGCGCTCATCCTTCTCATTAGTTTTTCTTTCACTGTACCATGAATTGATCAGTTTAAGTCCGGAACCACGGAAACAAGCAACTTGTGGTCATTTATTAATTTTTGCAAACATGACACCATCCCCGTATGTATTTGTTAATTTTTCTTTCAGCATTTTCTCAGTTATCGACATGCCTTCTGGTAAATATTCATAAAATTTCTTCTTCAAATCATGTAAAGTAAACTGGCATTCGTCAAAGTCATCAATAAAGGCACAGAGCTTTTCGAAAGCAGAAGTTATGTCTTAATCTTGTGGGCGTCCTCTTTTTTGAGTTGATGGTGGGTTGCATGCAAATTTGGATGAGCATTTTCTCTGATAGCGTGCTTCTTCTGCTTCAAGACAAATCCCACTTTTTCATCGCCTCCTCATTCTCACCCTATTCGTTGTTCCTTTGTTCAGCATTTTCATTAGTCTATCTTTTAGAGTCAAAGTTCGAACCTTGTTAGTTACTTGGCGTTTCGCTGCAGGCTTACTCTTTTCAGCAAGAATGTAATTTTTCACCACAAAAGCAAACAATTCTTTTTGAAATCAAATTTTTCTTGTGATCGCAATATAGTACGCAGATTCTGTTTACTAGTTTCTGCTTTTTTTTAAATCCCTGGCAATGTTTTTTTCTTTGATGTATTCATGTCTGCAAACTATATGCATTTCAATGGTGTCCACTTTTATAAATTTTTCAAAATGACTGTCTTCGGATTTGGCTTGCAATTCTTAAGTTCTTCATGCCGTCCATCACAACCACTGTTTTTCCATCTGCTAAATTATTACCACAGTAAAAACAATCACTTGCAGATGCCATACTGATTTTATGCTAAGTAGTTTCTCTCAGGTAACACTGCAGTGTTCTAAGTCACACCTGGAAAAGAAACATTTTTGAGTGAATGAGGAAAAGTTTCCCAATTTTAACAGAAATTTTATTGCCATATATTCAAATAGTAGAGAATTTTCTGCTTTATAATTTCAACTACAGTCAACCCTCACTTTACGCGGTCCCACATTCCGCGTTTCCACGTTTACGCGGTACCCTGCCGAAACAGGAATGCTCACATTCCGCGGTGCATGTACCCCTTTACGCGGAGAGCGGCTGGCGAGCCGCGCCATTTTTGGATCCAAACCTCCCGCCATCTCTCCTGCCCTCTCCTGCCATCCGCCATGTTGTGTAAGCAGCGCGAGCATGGTGCGCACAAGGTCGCCCAGTCATCAAAACATTACCGAGTTCTTCACCCGCCACCCACCACAGCCGGCCCAAGTCAGTGATAGTGATAATTATAGTGAGGATATGGACTTATATGGACTTTGAGGGGTTTGACAAAGAGGCCCTGCAAGCCTCTGTGGTGGATAGTGATACAATTGATACAAGTGATACAGGTGAGGGCCAATAATCTGCCCTCTGCCTCGGAACCAACCGCCCATCCCCGTGTGCCCAGCCATCTTTTCTACTAATGTAAGTGTTAAAAAACCTAATATTATTGATATTTCTCTTAATTATTAATATTGTGTGCATACCATCATAAAGTTAAGATAATATTTTTACTACAACATAGTTGTGTGTCGTCAAAAAGTGGAGTTTGGGGGGTCGGCCCTGTCTCTATTTCAATTAATCCCATATGTTATGTTGTTCACTTTACGCGTTTCTCACTTTCCGGGGTACCCTGTGGGTTGAATTAACTGCGTAAAGTGAGGGTTGACTGTATATGCATTTTTAATGAGAAACTAAGTGTTTTGGAGTTATTTGCCGAAAACCTTGCAGGAGAATCTATTTTTTCACTACACGCGAAAAGTTTCTCCCGAATTCAGATGTGGATCACACAAAAACTGTAACACCTATGGGAAAAATGAATAGGGACAATCTTGTTTAAAATCACATTTCCAGTATTTTTGTCTCAAAATATTATCGTCTGATGCATAGTTTAGCTGTAAAATGTGAAAAAGGTAATGAGAACACCCATTTTGGGGGGGGGGGGCCTATGGGGTCAAAAAGGGGGATGCTCCCCCCAGACAGAGGAGAACTCTTTTGATCTTGATTTCTATAGCCTTCAGGAGTATGTATGCAAAATTTCATCATAATTTATTTCCACCATTTGCCCCTCTTTGAGCTAATTTGACTGGACTATATAGGAAATCTGATTAGACCACTGTGCAGTATTCAGTAAGTGATGTTTATTTCATAAAAAAAAAAAATTGTCTTCCCCATTTCTTGTTTTTATTTTTTTATTTATATATAGTAGGGTATGCTATAACGAATCTACTTGGTTCTAGAACCTCCGTTCGTTATAGGGGTAATCCGTTCTAGGCCCCCAAATACAACCACTTAACAATGAAAAATATAATATAAAATTGTAAAAATTGTAAAAAAAGTGCATAAATGTGCATTTAAACTCCTGAAATAAAGAATATCATTAATACTTGTAATAAAAAATAATAAATTAGTACAAAAAATAATAAAAAATACTGTTCGTTGTAGGAGTTTCGTTCGTTATAGCATTTTCAATTTTATAGGGAAAACCGTTCTTTATAGGAATATTCGTAATATAAACCGTTCGTTATATATATATTTTTTTAGCATTTCTGGTGACCAGAGTATCTCAGAGTCCAAAATAAAAAGCAAATTCCATTATATTGAAGTAAGTTCATCATGGTTTTACTATTATTATTTTATTTTTTATTTTTATAATTTTTAAATTTATTTATTATTATTATTATTATTATTATTATTATTATTATTATTAATATTATTATTATTATTATTATTATAATTATAATTATAATATCCCACCTCAGTGACCCATGCCCGGGTGAGCTAATCCCCATTAAAAAAAAAATCCTCTGGACATGTCTGTTACAGTACAGTTGGGTGGCCACGCAGTAGCAGCGTGGCGGACAAACAAAATGCTTTTTTTATGGGATTAGCCCACCAGGGCATGGGTCAATGACCCACATCAGGGCCTGGGGGCAAAAATACTGTACTGTATAATAATAATAATAATTAATAAAAAATTTGAAAAAATATTAAATATAATATACAGTACTGTAATAATAACAATAATAATAATAAAGGACCATAAATAAAAAAGAAAAAGCGATCATTAGTAAGAAACGATATGCAGGACATTATATATGTTGTGTTGTGAAAGTAAGAGAAACAATTGAGACCCTGCAATTGTGTGTAAATGAGGCAGAAAGTCAGATCAGCAGAAACTGGGATTTGGTCACACTTTTCGTGATGCCATATGGCAGCAGGGTCTACCATTAGACAAAACATTATGCTTCCTATATCTTCCCAGCTGGTCGTATCTCCCTGTTTCATAGCTGCCTACTACCTACCTGTTACCCTCGATATTAAATTCAAACAACCTCTGCTACAATTATTATTTTACTCATTAAAAGATATAGAACAAAATACACTATAATATAACAGCTGTCATCATATAAACTATACTGTACTGTATAGTATTTCTATTGAGATATTTATCCTCTGTTCCGATGTTGATGCCATAATGTTGCCACATTGTCTCTAATATATTTTCAGTAACATTGGCGAATGACAAACTGTGGCATAGAGTTATCTTTAGTTCTTTCAACAGATAAGCCTATCCAGTCATCCTCACATTTTTGTTTTCACTTCAACCTTTGCTCGTGTAGTATTTGGTCCAGGAAAACTCAGGCTACATTTATCAGTTTATTGGTGTTGCTAGGAGAACTGTGCTCTAGCACAGAGCGAGAGTCAGTGGTGGTTCCAAGGCCGCCCACGAGTATATATAACGGCCGACTGAACGAAGCTGTCTCGGCTCAAGTCTTGAACCAAGCTCGGCCACATCAGCCAGCCGACTCAACAACAGTTACATGAATAGAATTGCTAGTTACAACAATTACTGTATAGTCATTGCTAACTATATTACATTACATTACATTCATTATACTTCATTCGGTACACTAGTCTATTACAATGGTTGTGATGAATGATTATTATTATGATGCTTTTGATGAATGTTTATTATGATGCTCATGATGAATGTTTGTGATGAATGTTTATTTTGAGGTTGGGATTATGTTTAAGTTTCATAAGAATGTACTAAGAGTGATAGTATGTAAGGGACATTTATGCATTTGCATGTATGTTTGTACATAGTAAAGCATATGTTGATAATGAAACTATTAATTAAAATTTCTATTTCTTTAACTACCAGGAATATCCTCAGTACAAGCTGCACCCTACAAATCTGCCAATAAAGAACTTAAGAAGAAATATGCTCGTCTGCTTAATAAGCACAGACAGAGATATCACCTACTTCTTAAGAAGTATAAATCTTTGGAAAGCAAGTTTGCTGTAGTTGAAGATGCTGGTACTCCAGAGCAAGTTATCAGAGATGCTAAAAATTTCTTATCAGAAGAGCATGTCCTGTTTTTGGAAAGTCAGATGTTCCTGAGGAACAGACCAGGAACAGGCAATCGATTTTCCAAAAAATTTATGAAACTCATGATAGAGTATTATAAGCGTAGTGCTGCTGGATATAGATTTCTCAGGACAATTTTCACTATTCCATCAGTAAAAACAGTACAGAAGTGGCTGAGCAAACCTTTACAAATTAGAGAGGAAAAAGAAAGTGATCCTTTAGCAATAACCTCACAGAGGAGAGAGTCTGGCACTAGAAATGAAAGGGAAAGCAGTGTTGAAGCATCAGGCTCTGGCTTAAGAAAGCATCAAAGTGTAAGTAAAGGTGAACATGGTTCAGGAGATAGAAGGGGTTATTCTTCCACCAAATTTTCTAAAGGAAGATTAACTCCTGATGAATCTGATATGGAAGAAGGCTCATCAGAAGAGTATGATTCAGAAGAATCAGGACTTGAAGAGATGGAAGATGAAGAGGGGATGGAGGAGAGTGAAAATTCAAGTAAAAGATTAACAGGACAAACCAGTCATGGTTCAAATGAGGAAGAAATCACAATTGAGTGGGAAGAAGAACCTTGGCCTTCTGTTGTTATGGAATGATTTTTAAAAGTTTTCCTTCAATATGTTTATATGACAAGGACATCATTGTAACCATATTTTATACTAAATATGAAGCCTTATTGTACTGTAAATAACCCTTGTCAGTAGTTTGTGTGACATTATTGTATATATTAGAGGTCTTAACTATTTTTATAAGTATTTAATCATTAAAGTCAATCACACAGTAATCTATAAATTAATGAAACTGTATATCTTTCACCTGAAGGTATGTTATTGTAAAAATATGAAAGTACAAGTTCAATAAAAGCAAATGTTATGTCAAGCTCAGATTTTTAAATACAGTACATGACAAGATGAATGTGCAGTACTGTACTGTACTGTATCTTATTTTTTAATTCATAGAAAAAAGCTCTTACAAGAAAATCCTGAACAGTGAAGGCAAAATATGGATACACAACTTTTGTTTTTCTTTTTCTCAAATAATTTTGTTAGGTTTCTTCTACTTGTATTTAAACATCCTAATACCTGTACTAACAATAGAAGCCATAAAAAAATAAACAAACACAGTGACATAATATTTACTGTACATGCAAAATTAAAAATATAGTTCTACCTTTACAAATTAGGATCTCATTCTACATACCTGGTATCCATTAGCTGTCAAGAGGAAAAAGGCTGACTCAGATTTATGTAAATCTTAAGTACATTAAAAGAAGAAAGGATAGAGTTCTACAAGGAGTCTAAGATTAGATAGTGTAAAGTTGAAATTATAGTTTCCTTGTTCAATTTGTCAACAATAGCCAATTTGCTTTTAAAATGGCTATCTTTTATCCACATTTTTTTCTTCTCTTTGTTCATGTAGTTCCTGGACAAGGATCTAAATTTTTAAAGGCTCTCACAGGAGGTTTATTCACCAACAGGAGATGATGTTTCAAGTTTATCTGGTCCAATCTTCATCTGTTTGTACGAATCCAGGAAAAAAGTCACAGATAAAAAGGCACGGAAAGAACCTAACCTAACCTAACTTAACCTAATCTAACCTAACCTACATGCAATGCCATCATATATATATTGTGTTGTCAATGTGTACAAGTCATGTGACTTTTTTTCCTGTGGACTTTATTTCCGTCCACTGTTTGTACAGGTTGTACCTGTCTAGTCCGGCAACCTCGGGACCTGACCGATGCCGGACCATGGAAATTCACCCTTTTCCTGGACAGATAGTGACTTGCGCTTACGTTTGCACCACTTTCACTGCTTCGTGGTCTCTTTGAAGACATATTGAAGGATTAAATGTCGTACAGTAGCTTCTCAAATTTCGCGAGTTTTTAATTCAACGTTTTTTATTTGGACACACAAAAAACACTACATAATTTAAAGTTTTGACGGCAGAAACTCGAATTTCGACGGGTTTGAACGGTCCGCCAATGTTCAGACGACGTGCACAGTCGTGTAAACAGCGTCATTTCTCTAAGCTACAAAAGATTCATTGTTTATTACTGAATGTCTTTTTTATTGAATTAATGTTTATGTGTGCAAAATGAGCAATGCAATTCATTAATAATACATAGAATATTAAAACACACGAGGAAATGAGACAGCATTGTTTTCGTTGATTACAAAACCAGTGACTGACTGGTTCTACATATAAAACAAGAAAATAAGACCCTGGTTGTAGCTGTAGTAAAATTAATGTAAAAAATTAATATGGTTGTTTTAAGTAATGTTATGTAATGTTAATAAATAGAACAATAAAAGTAGCAAACCATTTATGTTACAGAAAAAAAGTGAGACTGCGTGTATGTAAGTGCACACATGTGAAAAACATATTGTCATTACTCTACATAAGAATATGAAAGCAACACTTATTTACTGTTCATACATGTTTTAATTAATGTTTCTGATTTTTTTTCATTGAATTAATGTTTGTGTGCAACTTATATTGTTCTATTTATTAACATTAAATAACATTACTTCAAACAACCATATTAATTTTTACATTAGTTTTACTACAGCTACAACCAGGGTCTTATTTTCTTGTTTTATATGTAGAACCAATCAGTCACTGGTTTTGTAAACATTAACGAAAATAATGCCTGCAGCTGTCTCGTCTCCTCGTGTGTTTTAATATTCCACGAATTATTAATGAATTCTATTGTTCATTTTGCGCACACAAACATTAATTCTAAAAGAAAATCAGAAACATTAATTAAAATATATATGAACAGTAAGTAAGTGTTGCTTTCATATTCTTATGTAGAGTAATGACGATATGTTTTTCACATGTGTGCACTTACATACACGCAGTCTCACTTTTTTTCTGTAACATAAATGGTTTGCTACTTTTATTGTTCTATTTATTAACATTACATAACATTACTTAAAACAACCATATTAATTTTTTACATTAATTTTACTACAGCTACAACCAGGGTCTTATTTTCTTGTTTTATATGTAGAACCAGTCAGTCACTGGTTTTGTAATCAACGAAAACAATGCTGTCTCATTTCCTCGTGTGTTTTAATATTCTACCTATTATTAATGAATTGTATTGCTCATTTTGCACACATAAACATTAATTCAATGAAAAAGACATTCAGTAATAAACAATAATGAATCTCTTGTACATAAGAGAAATGACGCTGTTTACACGATTATGCACGCCTAAACGTTGGCGGACCGCTCAAACCCGTCGAAATTCGAGTTTCCGCCGTCAAAATTTTAAATTATGTAGTGTTTTTTTTGTGTCCAATTAAAAAATCGTTGAATTAAAAACTCGCGAAATTTGAGAAGCTACTGTTCGACATTTAACCCTTCAATATGTCTTCAAAGAGACCACAAAGCAGTGCTAACGTAAGCGCAAGTCACTATCTGTCCAGGAAAAGGGTGAATTTCCATGGTCCGGCACCGGTCAGGTCCCGAGGTTGCTGGACTAGAGAGGTACAACCTGTAATAGTGAAGGAGATGGTTAGCAGTAGAAATTACTTAAGGGATTTGTTCATATTTTCCACAGGTGTTGTTTGGATGACATTAAATAGTAAAATTATAAGAACTTTTTCCTTGATTTTTTATTTTTATTTATTTATCTTATTTTTTCATAAATCATCTGCAGTGGGCAGGGCATAAAAGATGAAAGAAATTATGGGGTAAAACATGGTGAGAAACTGATTAAATAATTTTAGGTCTACATGCTTTGTAGACAAAGAAATAAATTTATTACCATAAATATTCTGATGATGATATTTCTTCCATGGCATTGCAAGTTCACATTCACTCTTAAACTATAAATTTCTGTTTATAGTCTTTGTAATGACGGAGGCTCTCACTGGGGGTTTTATTACCGTAAATATTGGCTTGATTGCTTTTTGTTTTCAACTTTATAAGCTTCACTTTCCTGGTTTTCTAGTTTATTCCCTGCACAAATCACATTTTTTTCACATTTGACTTTTAAACCTATTCTATGTATGAAGGATGAGATTCATATAGATTCTCCCCGACTTACGACCGACTCGACTTACGTCCACCCGCACCTACGACCTGCCTCAGTCGTACCAAAATGTGGTCAAATTATGTATTTTTGAGTCCCAAAGTCAGTACACAGACAAAATTTTCATCTGTAATTCACTTTAAAATGGCTGGCAAGCTTAAAAGAAAGTGTTTTGTGGTGCTGAGAAGAAAAAGAGACCCAAATTTTCGATGTTCTGTGTGTTATTTAAGCATTTCCGACTTACGACCATTTCGACTTCCGACCTGGATGTCGGTCCCTAACCCTGTCGTAAGTCAGGGAGTACCTGTAGTTGGATTCAAATCCCATGCCATGGGTTTGGATACATTTAAATTTTTTTTAGTAACATTGGATTCAATGTAACTGTTCTATACTTATTTTCTTCCTCAAGGGGAGATGGAAAAGACAAGCTACCCATCTTGTATTTTAACTACGTAATTATGGCGTCCTGTGCGGTTTGTTCTTTGTCATATCACAAGTCACCTGTGCTTGGGGAGGATTAAGAGCATCTGCAAGAATACATCTGTCAACTTGGACTAGTTGGGAGGACGTGCAAGTGTTCAAAATGTGGCAGAGAACTGACACTGGACAAGAAATACAGGTATGTATTTTAGTGCAACAAGCGAACGTACTGTTATGCCCACAAAAGACGTAAAATTACACAACTTTGCTTCAAGAAAAGTGGTTTCATTTGTACAGGTACCAGATATCAAAATAAGTTCTTTCTGCTTAATATGCCGGGGGGGTCTGTAGGGTGGAGCTGGTTAGGTAAGTTTTGTTGGGTTAGGTCAGGTTCTGTTATGGTTCTGTGCATTATTGTTTCCATTTTCTTGTTTAGTATCATGTAAATAACATCTCCAGAAATTTGGGTGCAATTCCATCAGTAATTTCTACTGCTAACGGTCTCCACCATACTGAACTACTTTATCTAAACACCAAAGAGGAGGAAATTTGAAACATGAAAATAAGGGAAAGATATTAGCAAAATATATGCCTGATGAATTACAGCTGCTCCCTGACTTATGACGGGGTTAGGCCAAATCCAGGCCGGAAGTCGAAAATGCAAAATAATAATAGATAGAAAAACTAAAATGAAGTACAGTACAGTAAAAGTAATCAATAACGAAGAATGGGTACTGTGTGACTGTGCACTTACCTTTAATGTATTCAGCTGAATGCACACGGGGCCCCCATGAGGAGACAGCAATGGGGGACTTCTTAAAAATATATGTCCAATTTAGACTGCACAGTTTGCTTTTTCTTTTCATTATAAATTTCCCTGTAGCAAGCAAGTGCATCTTGGACCATTCTGTCAACTTTGGCAAAACGTTCAACATTTTTATTCATTCCGCCAAACATTTGCATCCCCTTATAAATTGTAGCAAATGCCTCTGCCATTTGCTTTACTGTAAAAATTTTTGGGGGTGCAGGTTGTTCTCCTACATTTAGACTCTCTTCTTCCTTTGCATTTTTCCGTGCTTCCAGTTCAATAAGATCCTCGTTACTTAGCTCTTCTGCTACACTTTCAACCAACTGCTCAACATCTTCATTATCAATTTCTAACTCAAGCTGTTTACCCAACTCCACTATCTTGTTACTAATCTTAGAAATTACTTCATCTTCATTAAATCCTCTGAAACTGTTCACATATCTTTTCAGGACCTTCTTCCATATTCCATTCATGCACTGACCTGTAACCTCATCCCATGCTGCAGCTATGTTCTTTATACATTTCAAAATGTTGTAGTCCTTCCAAAACTTTCTGAGCGTTTTCTCACCTTCAGTAGCAGCAACAGCTTGAGCGAAGGTTGTATGTAAATAATTAGCTTTAAAAGCTGCAATAGCACCTTGTTAGGTGGAATGTAGACTACCTTAACATCAGGGTGCATGTCGTCCAGGTGTGGTGGGTGTCCCGGAGCATTATCCAAAATTAACAAAATCTTGAATGCAATTCCTTGTTGCAGACAATACTCCTTGGCTCGTGGAATGAAACAAGTCATGAACCAAACCTCAAACAGTACTAGGGTCATCCATGCTTTCTTGTTACTTCGATAAAACACTGGCAATGTGTGCTTGCTGACATGTTTAAAAGCCCTTGGGTTCTCTGAATGATATA